GGCTTCAGGAGGTGTTCTCATCCTGAAGCTATCTTACAAAGCAGTGAAAAACAGGAAGGCAAAGAAAACATCTCCTAGAATACTAAGTCTTCTCTTCTTTATTTTTAACCCCCCTGGAAACCTTATTATCCACAGATACCTCATCCATTATTCTTTGCTGTCTCTAAAGGTCAGCACTCTGAATGGTATCTTCACAGGTAGAGTAGCATGGGTACAATCTTACTGGGTGATCAACATGGAGATCAGCCCAAAATCCCTCAGTAGATTTAACATCTTTAATAATTTGGTAGCCATATTTTGGTATCATCTAAAGTCAGATTTTTAAAGCAAATTTTACTATCCTTGGGGAGAAAAAATAATAAATTTTGCTGTTCTAAAATGCTATGATTTCCAGATTGAGTTGAGGGGTCCTCTCCAAAACCAGTTCCGAGAAAAAGTGGATCCATTTTCCATTTCTCTTTCTGAGCCACTTGTGAGGAACAAGTGATCTGGAAATCTGTGCTAAAACAAGTTTATGACACCCTGAGAAGTACTTTCAAGTCATTAAATAAAAAGAATCCTCATTTACATTTGTGGCAATAATCTGGAATCAGCACATATAAACCACTGTACTGTAGAAATACAAAGGCGAATCCCAGGGGTGATGAATCAGCAAATGGCATCTAGACACAGGGTCTCTATTCCTGTTTCTTAAATACCTTTTGTGTGTGAGGAGTAGGATGGATGTGATCAACAGTGCTGGCCCTCAGGGAGATAGTGTTCTAACAGGGAAGATTATGCCATGAGTGACAATAAAATGTCATGAGGATTATGACAATGGAAATAGAACACTGTATAAAAACTGAAGTCTATTCTTATATCGTGTTGCATTCACGGACAGAAATACGATTTTTGAAATGGGCATTTGTAAGGGGCCCTGCTGCTTGTCCACGTTGGGAGCAGCATGAAATGTCTATCAAGTCCAAACAGCTATGTGTGAAAGTATCTGGATGTGTCCTTTTGACTCGAACTTTATGAAAACTAACTAAGTATGAACTAGTGTAATTGAATCCACTTTTGTAAGGGCAATCTATGTATTTTGATTTTCTATAACAAAAATAAATTATGCAACTATACAAACTTCCAGGTCCTCTACCCTAAGGAAAGGGAGAGATGCCTTAGCCAGTTAGGCCTGAGAGAATGTCTCATTCTGGCCCCCCCTCCATTTCTCTCCTTCCAGAAACTTTTCTGGATAATTTTCCATGTTCCATTCTGGTCCTTTCCTTTTCAGTTGTGAGTATGGGGATTTTTTACTGGTTGTAGAATGTCCTTAGACTTTATGGACTTGCTCAAATTTTACTCTTTATCACAATATGCCTGGAATGAGCTCTGTAAAATGGAGACAGACCACTAAATTTGTTAAGCTGAAGATAGTGCTGTGTCTGCTAGTGTAAAAGTACATGATCTCCTGTTTAGAGTCTAAATGAAAAATTGATTCCCTCTTGGGCAGAAACATACATTCTAGACATTTTCTAGATGTCTAAGATCATTAAATGTTTCCTCTACTACTGGTTACAACTGTTCTGAAATTTTTCCTCATAGCCATTTGAAACCCAACATTGTTTAGGCCAGTGTTTCTTTAAATTGAGGTCCAAAAATACATTCTTTCAGGTACAAAAATTTATAAAAAAATTGAAAAGACGTTTTCATAGAATGAAATTTTAGTCTCTTAACTCAATGCTTCTCACACTGTGATCTGTAGATACATCTTGGGGGTCCATAACAATTAGTTTTAAAATAGAGTTGTGTGTTACCAAATTTGAGAAACATTCATATAAGTTACACCTGCTCCAAAGGGGGAAAGCCTTGAGAGGGACTCTCTCTCTCTCTCTCTCTGCTGCATTCTCTCTCTTTCTTTCTCTTCAGATACTACTTTGAAAACAACACGAAAGCCATGGACCCTGTCTCCCAGAAAAATGTACATCTCACAGATTTTTCAGTGGGTTCTGGAATACCAGGAAGCAAAAAATCC